TTCCCTCCTCTTTTAATGCATAATGCTCTTACAAAACTTATCAACTTACAAAACCACTTAGCTCAAAAGACTTTTGGAAGTGTTCAGCCAGCAAGCTGTCCTTCCAAGCTAAAACATGCCACAGATGGCACCCAGAAGCAACCAGACAGTGAGTCTTTCAATGTGCTGAGCTTTTCAACGCCATCCCCAGCTGAGTCATGGTTCCCTGCCAGTTACTCAGCAGGCATCAGTCGTGTCTGCTGAAGGTGTGTGGACAGGGTGAATGAAACTGGGCTCTGTTGGACAAGTGTGTGTGATTTTGTACCAGCAGCACCATTTTCAGCCACAGCAAGCCTTCCTGCTTCTGATAACCACACATGTTCCCTTGCAGATGCTGTTCTGTGACTCAAACTACCTCCGTCACAAGCTGGTGCAAGAGGTGGCAACTATACCCCCCAGAGGGCCTGTAAGAGCACGGCCCCAGTCTCACACAGTCTCCCTGAGTACTAGAAGTCAGTACAGCTTGATCCTCCTTTTCAGCTCTGGAAGGTGCAGCCTCCTGGGCCCTGCTCTGCCTTTCCTGGTCCCACAGCCAGACTGGAGCAAGGGGAAACCTCCTTCGGGCAGATGCCATGCCAGCACTCTGCCTCGCAAAGGCATCATCCTCCGCCAGGAGCCCGTGGAAGCCTCAGAGCCACAGGAGCAAAGTCTCTCTCAGAGGAAGAACGACACTGGGGTGCAGGGTATCCAATGTGCGGCCGACAAGTTCACCACTTGTAAAAGCACAATATCACTTCCTCATCAGTGGGGCCCATCTGTTCCCCAGAGGCATCCTCAGTTGGAGCATGCCCACCATCTGAGTGGCCTGACTGTCCACAAAGAACCCACAGCCAGAGCATGCAACTGCAGCTGTAACTCAGCCCAGGGGATGGAAACTCCTGCCTGGGCCCAGGCACCAGGCAGAGCATAGCATAGCCTGTGCCCTATAAGCAGAACAAGAAGAGGAGGCCCAAGACCCAGGGCGCAAATATGAGTGGAGGGGCTGCCATCCATAAGACCTCTTCAAAAGAGGCTTGCAGACAAGGAGCGGCAGCACTCCTCTCCACAGCTCCAGCTTTATATCTCAGCAGCTCTTCCCAACAAAACTATGAGCTTAAACTCTCCTGACCCCTGAATTAGGTCAACAGGATGTACAATTCTGGTTGTAATTCAGCCCTTTTTGAGAACTCTCAACTCTCATCCCTACACTAACACACTGGAAAGTCTGAATACCAAATAGAGCATTTATTTCTGCCAGACATACTCACAGAAGGGTCCAGTTGGCAGTGTATCTGATGACAGTTGAGGGTTTCTCCCTCCCAGCCTAGCTCCTGTAGGAACAGCCAGTAAGCATACCAGCTGTACAAGGTGGAATGACACGATGCTCATGAGAAGGGCACACACAATGCTCAATGCACATGAACCTAGAAAATGGGCGATCCAAAACGACAATGAGCCAGCTTTTTAGGAACTGATGGGGACCAACATCTAAGAGACTGTTAAGTGAAACAGCAAGGTGAAAACAGTACACTCCTGTGCTGCCAACTGAGAATGCCCAGCAGTGGTGTTGGGCAGAGACAGAGTGGGGCCCAACTCTGATATAAGGAAGATCAGCCACCAACCTGAACCCTGCTTCTCTATGAGCTGGGAAAGAATGTTAGGAACCTGAACCCTGCTTCTCTATGAGCTGGGAAAGAAACCCGGGCAGAATGTTAGGAAAAGTGCAGATTATGTCTGTAGGTCCTGAATGGCACAGTGACCACAGTCCTTAGAGACTGTGTCCTCAAGGGGCAAGCCAGGGATGCCCAGCTCACTCACTGCTAAGCTCCTCTATGGCCTTAGTGCAGTGCTAGGAGGCCACCCCTCCCCCAACTTGCTATCCCATCCCAGACTCCTGACGGTGTGTGTGGCTCAGAGTAATGGCAGTGGGCAAAAGGATCTTCTCAGTGGACATTCCTGCAACAGGGGCCACTGTGGAGAGAACCAAGGACACTGTCACCCATGGAACAGGAGGGTAAGCCTGGATATTCTGTTTCAGACATCAATGTAAGATGGGACACACATACCCCACAACCCAGCAATTCCACTCCAGGGTATTATCAACAGAAACATGAGTACCAAGAATGGTGGGGTCAGCATGTTGAGAACAACCACAACTGAAAAACACCTGTATGGCTATGGCCAAAGTGTAAGTGATGACTAAATCATGACTTAGCCATTCAATATAGAATGAAGGAACTAATGCTACACACAACATCAAAGATAAATCTCAAAACTGTCATGTGGAAAGCCAGAAATGAAAGAATATATTCTGTACTGGAGTGCAAGACTTCTTGGTGGTGACAGAAGTCAAGGAAGTTGGGGGGGGGGGGTAAGGGTTGAGGAGTGGAGAGTGATCAGGAGATGGAACAAGAGTGGCCTCTAGAGAAATACTCTATTTCTTGACCTGACCGGGGTGGGGGTTACTTGGTTGCATTGACTTCATAAATATTCACTGAGATGTAAAACTTACGACTCAAGTACTTCTCTGGATGTATGCTATGTATATATATAAAAGCCTAAGCGACCATTAAAACCGAATGACTGGAACAACCAGTTGACTGGTTGCTATGACACACACTGACCATCAGGGGGCAGATGCTCAACGCCAATGCAGGAGCTGCCCCCTGGTAGTCAGTGCACTCCCACAACCAGCCTCCCGTGGTCCCTCCCCCCCAGCTGGCTGGCCAACTTCTGTGGCCCCTCTCCACAGCCAGCCAACCTCCCGTGCACCCCCCAACCCCCTACTGCCAGCCAGCCAACCTCCCGCAGCCCCTCCCCCCAGCTAGCCAGTCCCAATCACCCCCATCGGAACCTCCCGTGGCCCCTCCTCCCCTAGGCAGCCAACCTCCCACAGCCGGCCCAGATCCGCCTCAATTGCCGGTCAGGCCGAGGACCACCCATGCATGAATTTGTGCACCAGGCCTCTAATACTTTAATAAGAAGCTGATCTTAGAGGCCATTCTGTCCTAGAAACAAATGCCAGAGCTGCTGGGGTTGAGAGGAAGGGAGGCATTGGCAAGCCAGCCCTTCACTCCCTTCCCACACAGGAGCACAGACTCTCTGAGAGTTCTACAGAGCAAGGTCTGAGACCTAATGCACCATAAGCCTAGGCTACCTCTGAGACACTCGGCATGCACTATGCTTCAAAGCTCATACAGAAACATGTCCACACATTCCTGCCTTGGGTAGGGGTCAATCTGGGGAGATCAAGGGCACTTTGAAGGTTCCAGGAAAGGAGCACTCAGTAAGCAGCTTAGTGTTCCCAGGAGGAGCAAGTCTAAGGTTACTGGAGCGAAACACGCAGGCAGCTCCCACTGCCTGGGCATCACCTGCCAGCACCATGCTGGACATCTGTCCTCTACCACATGGTGGTCTCCTCTGAGACCACTAACCTCCACAGTAAATATTATGCCCCTGCCCAAACAAGGAAGCAAGGGAACTTGTGACATACCTGGCCACATTTTCATTTTTTACCTAACCTGCTAACCTAACCTTTTAAAGTCAGCCTAGGCCTGCCTCCATGCAACTATAAAACATCTAGAAGAAAATGTAGGAGGAAAATCTTAGTGATCTTGAGTTTGGCAAAGACTTAAAATATGATAAAAAGCACAAACTATAGAGAAATATAAACTGGATTTCACCAAAATTGAAAATCTTTGCTTTTCAAAAATGACACTATTATGAAAATGAAAAGACAAATCCCAGACTGGGAAATATATATATAAATCATATATCTAAGAGAGGACTTGTACCTAAAACATATAAAAACTCTCTCAAGTCAATAATTAGACAAAGAACCCAAAAGAAGGGGAAGATGGACAAATGATCTAAATAACCAAGTCGTTCACTAAGGAAGAAATATACATAGCAAACACTTCAAGAGACACTCAACCACATTACTGGACATCAGGAATATACAAATTAAACCACCACGAGACACTCCTACATACCTATTAGAAT